TGCAGGAGTAGGCGCTGGAGTGGGGGTTGGTGTAGGTGTTTTCGTTGTGGTAGAAGGCGTGGGGGTGGTAGTTGTCTTGGTTGTAGTCGGAGGAGCCAAGGTCGTTGTACCCTTGGTCGTGGTAGGAGGGACTAAAGTAGTCGCTGGTTGAATGGTTGTGTAAGTAGGTGTCGCCGTGGTCGTTCGCAACAGCGTAGTGGTTGGAGGCACCGTTGTAGTGACCTTGACGAACTTCGCAGCGTTCAAGCAACCAACCTCGTACTTGGCGACAGTTCGCGAAGACTCGAACCACGAAGCGGGGGCAGCAGCAGCAGACACAGTCGCAAGGCTCGGGGTGTCTTTCTCCGAATAATCCCACAGCTTGACTGAAACCGGCTCGGACTGCGCGGCGTCACACACGAACGGCTTGTTGTTTTTCTTTTTCTTCTTCGCAGCTTGGCTGCACCCGACGGAAGGGAGGACACAGCCCCAGGCGCCGGAGGTGAGCTTGTTGCAGATAGAATTCTCCTTGACTGTGCAAGTCGAGGTGTTCGCATCCCAGGACGGCAAGTACGGATGGCAGTCTTTAATGGCCACATCACCCACACGAGGGCAGTTTTGCCCAGCAGGCGACAGTCCGTTGCCCGAACAGATAGGCCCTTCAATAGCATAAGTGGCATCGCGACAGAGACTGACAGGGATGGTAGTCGCCGACGCAGCACAGGCCGCAGCAACGGCGAAGACTGCGATCGCCCGCTTCATCGAGAATTGTTGAGTGACTGGCCACTTGCCGCCGTGCCACCTCCCCCATCTTGCAAAAATCTGGTCGATACAATTGGTCGACGGAATGCCAAAAATTCGTGCCAGTTCGGTCGACCGATATCATGGGTCTCCCTGGGTGTTTGATTTCAATCTATCTTCATATTTGTATGCAGCCTGAAAATTTAATTGTAGGTCCCCCCACAAATCTGGTGTCCGGCGTATGCAACCTTGCTGAACATAACTGTACCTGCGACCTCGCAACCCATGTATGGTAAGAGGCCCAAACCAAAAGCATCCATGCATTGTGTATTGCAGAGAGGTAGATAGCGGGAGAACCTGAAGATAGTGAGCTCCAAGCGACCTCGCTCTAGCCCACGGCCCTAATCTGAGGACGTTGAACACCTTGGTAGGTTGCACCGAGACCCCCATGAGGGTGTTCATGAAAATCACGTTAAATGTAAAATGCCTTAATCGCATTTTTATAGTTTCGCCTACAAGTAATTGTGGAGTATGTCGAGGCCAGGGATTTAACGCGTTTCATCATATACGTGTACTAAGTAATACTAGTAGTATACAGCGCGTATCGGAAACATGTCCCCAGTAACGAAGAGAAATATCTTACAATTTTATTGGCAATAAAATTACTGTTCAAGTTATCAACGATGATTGCTTGAAAAGGAAACCCTGCTTCCTCTGTTCCATATTTGCAAAGGTGTCGGACCCTGGTTTTTTCCAATCGGGTTTTTTCAGTTTTCAATATAAAACACGATTGTCTGAGGTCGAACAAAATCGGGTTTTATTCGGAAAATCGGTAAACGTGACAGTGACCTGTGGAGTCTCTACACTGACGACGTTAACTCGCACAAGCACAAATCGACCCTCTGTACTGTTAGCACTGCCGCATGCTAGTGAAAAAACCATGGTTTTAATACACCGGAATCGGGTTTTAATTATTAAAACCTTAAACCCGATTTGTAAGGTGAAAAATATCGGGTTTTTACCACCCCTGCACATATGTGCCGACATTTGACTACATGTTGCCCCCCCAAAATTGACAGTTCGCGACAGCATTGAACTGTTATTTTTCAATATCTTGGCCAAGAGTAATTCAATTCCTCTGAGGATTTGATCAGTGGATGCGGAAACCATCCTACTACAAACCTGTATGATTAGAACCCTCTGAAATCTAATTGTCTTTGGATTGTTTTCACGTGAAGTCTTGAATTAACAGTAAAGTCATTTTTCACCCAGAAACGTAAAAACCTGTGTCGTTTGATACCTTTTGAATATTCAATTATACAGGTTTGACCGTATTCGTAACACAAGGAACTCTGCAAGTTGATACCCTGTCATCGTATAAAATTGATGCGGAATCGACCTAATTTTAAAATCCTGCACATACATGGACGTAACACTTGATGCATGCCTTGCGTTTGTCAAGGATGCTCGGCAC